GGTGACGAGCATTGGGATATAGAGAGAGCGAAATCCGAGCAGGCTTTCACTCCGAGAAGTGTTGTTGAGAGTGGTGCAACTCTCTCCACTTCAATTCTGAGGCTTTGGCTTCCCCTGTGGGACATCAGGCGACACAGCTGAGGCACCCCTCCCCTCTGGGGAGGACCCCCAGCGTGACAGGGTGATACTACCTGTCCAGATGTGTAGCGGTCCATGAAGAAAGGGTGGTGACCCAAAACCAAGAGGGTTCCAGGGGTGGACTGCCAGTTGGCATCATGGCAGAAAACACACGGTCTAAAGGCCATTTGTTCACTGGGATATAGGCATTGAAAAAAATGCAGATCAATGGGTGGCCCTGGGGGCTGGTCTCAGGCGAGAACAAAAGTTTACCTGGGCCAATCCTGGATCCCAGGGGTGTGTGGCATCAGGATGGGCAAGGCCTAGGTGTGACCAATGAGCTTCCAGAAAGGCAGGGTCTGGATTTAACAATAGAAGTCAGGTGTTGGATGACTGTACTGGGGATGTCCATTGTGGAATAATAGAGTGGTCCTGCATTTCCCCTAGTGCCAGACACAAGGAATGATGTTTCTTAATGTGTGGCAGGGTGAACCTGAATGGCTGACCATTCACTAGACATGCAGAGTTAATGTTTACCTTGATAGGTCTGGCATAGGCGTAAGAATGCAGATATCTTTGACAAATATATGGAGACAGGGATGAGAGGATTATTCCAAAGATACTTCCTGACATGGGTGAAACAGGAGGGGTGTGTGTGGAAATATGCAACACTTCATTCATGACACTTGCATAGACCAGAGGCCTTTTGACTCTGCCTGCCTGTACATTTGACAGTCAAAAGACTAGCCATTTGGTCAGCAGAAGATGCCTAAGGCAAGGGCAGAAACTTGCCCACTCATAGTCTTTTTTGGACTAAGCTGACAGGAAAAAAGAGTGGGGGGAGGGATTGCTTGCATGGGGAATGCTTGGCCATGCAGCCAGCCTGAAGAATTCTTTCGCCTGAGTTTTCTCAGCCAAGATGTGATTCTCATAGCCTTCCAGCAAAAAGCCACTGTGTAAACCAAGCCTGGCTTCATAGGGCACTGCTTGTGGAGGTTCAGAGGTTGTTTTGGGGTGTTTCTCTCTTGGGAAAGACCACCCCAGATTCAGTGCTGAGAATGCTGGCAACAATTATGCAATCGGAAACACAGACTTTTTAAAGGAACACATTCATGAAAACTGAAGCTGGAAACTATGCATGTTGTCCTTATCACTCAATACGGTGGCCATACATATAGAGAGCACTGAACACGGTACAATCTTCTGTAGAGGTGTGCATTCTGATAACCTGGAGCTGCAAATATACATGAAAATCACTATGTGGGGTCATTATCATAATATTCTGGAAAGGTTACAAAAAATTGGGATTCTTAGGCATTATGAGAAACAGCCCCCTGAAAAATCGATGTCGTGCTTCGTGTTCAGGTCTTTCTCATCATAGAAAGTGCCTTGTTTTTCTTTGACTCTACTAATTTCCCAGGCAGTAGCTGTGGCAGTGAGGCTCTCAGGAGGCATAAACCAAGTACAAAAGCTGACACAGCTGTGAATCTAGCTAGCTTCTTCTCTTTTCCCTCCCTATTTTGTGGGGGTGCAGCCCTTTGTCCTCCCAATCCATAGCTCTTTCAGTAGAATGGCTGGGGGCACCTTGTACAGGTGCCTATAGAATTGGACTTCTTGGTCCAATTCCCATGAAACTAGGTGCGTTTTTAGTGGAACTAGGTCCCCTGAAATATTGGTCAAATTGTCTTGAAAAAGAGTCAGTCCAGCACACCCCCAAAAGTAACCTCTAGGGAATAATGAAACCTAAATAAAAATCCAAATCAGTATCCTGATTCCTGGGGTACCTGAATAGCATCATTTAAATATCTAATAGCCACTCTCTGTTTTCCATGTGGATACTTATTTCCACCAACAGAGTTCTCACTCTCCCCCAACTGCTTTTTCTACATACTCAGGAGACTTCCTGGGAATGCAGAAAAATCCAAAAAAGTTTTTTTTAAAAGAAAAAAACCTTCAGGGATGGTTGAATTCTCCCCAAATACCTTTTGAAATGACCTCTGCTGGGGTATACCTCAGGCATCAATGGTGAGAGATTTGGATGTTTTTTGGGGGGAGAAGGGCTTCTGGCCCTGACAATAAAGGGGAGGGAGCAGGACCCTTTCTAGGCCTATTTTGGCCTTTGAGGAAGGAAGCCTTGAGGTCACAACTGACAAGGGTTGCCAGTGCCATGCTGGGGAATTCCTAGAGATTTTGTGGTGGAGTTTAAGGAGGGCTGGGTTTGGGGAAGGGAGAGGCCTCAGCTAGATTTAATACTGGCTTCAGTGGGAAGGAAACAGTTTCGAGATTTAATGCCATAGAGTCCATCCTCCAAAGCAGCCATTTTCTCCAAGGAGACAGATCTCTGCTGTCTGGAGTTCAGTTGTAATTCTGAAGGGTCTCCAGGTTCCGTTGGAGGCTGGCAACCCTAGGCCTGGCAGCAGTCTAGGGTTGCTAGGTCCCCCCTGATTTGCATGACTTAATTAGACTAGCTGCTTACTACTGTTCATCATTATGAAAGCCAGTATGATGTAACAGTTAGAGCCAGGTTCATATCCCCATCTTGTGGTGGAAGCTGACTGGGTAATTTTGAACCAATCACATACTTTCAGCCTAAGCAGCCTCATAGGGCCAACCCCCCTTAGCTTCTGAGACCTGAGGATATCCGGCTAGCCTCAGCTATCCAGGTTAGAGTGATCGGCAAGGTAGAAATGGCAAGATCGTTATGTCTGAAAATGGTTATTCCAAGGCTTACTGTACATACACAGTCCTGTACATACTTTCAAGAAAGTCACCTTATCTCAGAGAAAAAAGAAACCTTGTTTCTCAGTTAAAATAGAATTATGCCAAACATGCGTGTATTCTTAACCTCAGTATTACTGTTATTGATTCATTGAATTGATTTGTTTTCTACTCCCACAGGTCATGTTAATAAGAACATAAGAACTTAAGAGAAGCCAATGTTGGATCAGGTCAATGACCCATCCAGTCCAACACTCTGTCATCCAGTGGTCAAAAATACCAGGCTTGTTAAATTAAATGTTAAATGAATGAATATTAAATTCATTCTTCACCTCTCCATGGAAAATCAAAGTATAGTAACAGAGTTTATATTAGTGGGATTCTCCAAGGATCCACAGATGCAGATTTTTCTGTTCCTGATTTTTCTCCTAATATATGCCATGACACTGTTAGGAAACATGGCAATCATGCTGGTGATCAGGGTGGAGGCTAGCCTTCACACCCCTATGTTCTTCTTTCTTAGTCATCTAGCCTTTGCGGATATTTGCTACTCCTCTGTGACTCTCCCAAAGATGTTGAAAAATTTCACAGCAAAGCAGAAAACCATTTCCCGGGAAGGATGCATTGCACAGATCTTCTTCCACTTCCAGGCTGGTTGTGCTGAAGTTGCTCTGCTTTCAGTGATGGCCTATGACCGATATGTTGCTATATGTGCTCCTCTGAATTATTCAAGAATCATGATGCAGCAAACATGTAGACAGCTAGTGGGGGGAGCCTGGACAGCAGGTACTTTAATGGCTATGACCAACTCATTGCCATTAGCAGAGCTGTGCTTCTGTAGAGAGAACACCATCCACCACTACATCTGTGAAATTCCATCCCTCTTGCTCTTGTCCTGCAGTGAAACATACACTAATTATATGTTGACATGTATCACTAGTATTATATATGGCTTAATGGCTCTTTCCCCCCTAAGCATCTCTTATAGTTACATCATCTCCACAATCTTGAGCTCTCACCCAGCAAAGAGCAGGAGCAAAGCCTTCTCCACCTGCAGCTCCCACATCATTGTGGTCAGTTTGTTTTATATTACAGCTTTTTTCCGGTACTTCATGCCAAGTTCTAAATCCTCCATAGTCCTGGAAACAGTGGTTTCAATCCAATATAGCATTTTAACTCCCTTGCTCAACCCCATCATATACAGCTTGAAAAATCAAGAAATTAAAACTGCTCTGGGAAAACAAATTAGAAAACATAGGTAATGCTTTACCTCAATTTACAGTTTTAGTAAAGTGAGCAAAATTCAAGTCCAGTAGCACCTTAAAGATGAAGTAGATGAACAAAGTAGGTTTTGACTCATAAATGAAGATATCTTGGAAAAAATTAATTCAAATTTGTTCTACTTAAATTATTTTTGTGGTACTTTTTAGAAGCTATCTCAATCCCCATTTCATGCCTGTAAATGTGCTACTACATGACATGTAAGGGTAATTAGCAGTGTACATGGCTTTGGTGTAGTGGTTAGAGTCTCTCATTCAAATCCCTATCTGCCATAAAACTTGGTGAGTGTCCATGAACCAAATTCAGTCATCAAACCCACTGCACATGGTCAGTAGGGTCTAAAGCTGAATGAATCAGCTACCTAGAGAGGTGATGAGCTGGCAGTCTTTAAGCAGCAGCTGGACAAACACTTATAAGGGATACTCTAGGCTGATCCTACACTGAGCAGGGGGTTAGACTAGAGGGCCTGTATGGCCCCTTCCAACTCTGTAATTCTATAAATTTTATCCACAGTCTTCTACATCTCATTTCCTTTTCTGAAACTTATGATATTAGTAAAGTGGTAAAAGTGATGCATGGAACTTCATTTATAGACTGAACACTTTAGCAATAGCCTTTTATGTCTGTGTTGTGCTGAAACTGCCTACTTTCTAAATTTCAGTTTCACATCGTAATGCAAAAAAGGAAATTATACAAGGCACAATTTCAAACACAACCAATTCAGTTTTATGTTTCCATCCTTCTTCCCATATTTGCCTTTCCTCCATTTTAATTCTCATTTTATGTTTCCATTCTTCTTCCAATATTTGCCTTTCTCTCTCCTCCATTTTAATTCTCACTTTTTCCAACGTTTTGTCAGCGTCAAGGGAAGTCTAATTTGCCTAGTAAAATCACTATGAATTCTCTGAAGGGAAGAATTTCTAAATACCACCAAAGGAACTACAGCTCTAATAATACAAAATAGAGGCTACCTCACAGTATTGTGCCTAATCTCAAGGGGGTTAGAGTGAAAATAAAATGGAGGAAGATAGAACCCCGTGTGTTCCCTAAACTCCTTGGAGGAAGAACAGTGTGGGGGGGGGGGACCGGGACCACAGACATAGATCATTCCATAATAATGGGGGGAAATGGATTGGATTAAGCCAGCTTTTTCAGTATTTGTCAAATTTTCCTACTGATTACAGCCTCTGTCTCACATGCCTTTGCCACGAAGGCCCCATAATCCTCAAAGTAGTATTTTTGATTGGTGAAAAGAAACATCCTTCATCATCACCAGAAAAAGCTGACTGGATCCAACCCAAAAACTGTAGTCGTTGGAAACATATCTGAAACAGTTTGTAAAACACTGTTGATTAATTCGATGAATGAACATTCTAATGAACAAAACAAAGTAGATGAACAAAGTAGGCTTTGACGCATAAAAGACGATATTTTTGAAAAATTGATTCAAACGTTGTTCTACATCAATTAAAAAAACAAACAAACATGGCTACTCTTCCCTGCTTACTGAAGATTATTGTTAGTTAATCTGAAATGTAGCTGCATCAGATTTACCACTTTACTAATATGTTCCAGAAAAGGAAATCAGATGTAGATGACTGTGGATGAAATTTCCAATCATAGAATCTGATGCATGAAACTTCATTTATAGACTGAACGCTTAAGAAATAGCCTTTTATGAACCGTTTGTGTTGTGCAGTTACTCCCTGCTTTCTGAATTTCAGTTTCCCATCTTAATGCAAAGAAAAAAAATTATACAAGGCACGATTTGAAACACAACAAATACAGCTTTGTGCTTCCATTCCTCTTCCATTCTTTGCCTTTCTCCTCCATTTTCATTCTCACTTTCTCCAACTTTTTGTCCGCATCAAGGGGAGTCTAATTTGCCTAGCAAAATCACTATGAACTCTCTGAATTGAAGAAATTCTAAACACAACCAATGGAATGAACTACAGTTATTATAATAAAAAATAGAGGCTACCTCACACTATTGTGCCTAATCTCAAGGGGGTTACAGTGAAAATAGAGTGGAGGAAGGCAAAACCCCATGTGTTCCCTAAGCTCCTCAGAGGAAGAACAGGGGGGGGGACAGACCATTCCATCATAATGGAGGGAAATGGGTTGGATCAAGCCAGCTTTTTCACAAAATGTTGTCAAACCTTCCTACTGATTACAGCCTCTTTCTCACATACCTTTGGCACGTAAGCCCCATAACCATGTTTTCCCTAAACTCCTTGGAGGAAGAACAGTGGGAGGGGGGGCCGGGACCACAGACATAGACCATTCCATAATAATGGGGGGAAATGGATTGGATTTATCCAGCTTCTTCAGTAAATGTCAAATTTTCCTACTGATTACAGCCTCTGTCTCACATGCCTTTGCCACGAAGGCCCCATAATCCTCAAAGTACTATTTTTGGTTGGTGAAAAGGGACACCTTCATCATCAGCAGAAAAAGCTGACTGGATCCAACCCAAGAACTGTAGTCGTTGGAAACATATCTGAAACAGCTTGATCTCTCACCCGCAATGTGTAAAACATTGTTGATTAATTCGATGAATGAACATTCTACCTTCAGGTCACAGGTGATAGGTCTCAGATGCATGTGAAGTCTGGCAAAGACAATTGGGAATTTAGCTTGTGAGAGTGACACTGGAATGCAACAATTACTCAGTGGCCATATGAAGCAGGAGTACTGTTCACACTGCCTGCACTAGGAATCTCTTTGTTGTCCAATTTGCTATTCTTGTTACTTGCAACTAAGCAGGTGCTGGAAAGACAGCTTGTACCTCAAATTACAAGCAAACAGACCCTTTCAGCAGGGA